ATGGATGGATGGATTATATACAGTACTGTACTTTAACAAACTGCAATAGAGCGAGTCTGCGAAAGTTGAACCACCAAGTAGCGAGGGACTGTATCCTTATTTTGCTGTGTAAGAGCTGCATACCAAACCAACCACTCTTTTGTTTTTCTGCAACAGGTATGGTTACATTTTCTTGAGAGAAATGCTTATTTTTGTATTTTGTGGGAGTTTTATGTTTGTTCCATTCGTCATTTTTAGTTGCATGTTAATTTGTAAAAATTAGATTTGATGCACATCTTTTTTGGTTTCATGTCTCAATGTGGCCCTGTCCAGGCAGGGTGTCCCCTGCCTCTTACCATACCATACCATACCAATTTATTTATATAGCACTTAAAACAGCAACAAGGCCAACCAAAGTGCTGTAGCTTTGTCTAGCTCACTCTTGCACAGTGATGGCTGGACATGGGCGCCAGTGACCCCCGCAATCCAAAAAGGAAGAAGCGGGTGAAAGATAATGGATGGCTGTTTTTGTTCTTAAAACTATACAGTCACATTGTTAAAAGTTGGAAGATGTTGACAGCTGCCCTTTTGCTGCATGATGGTTTGACAGTATGGGGCATGAGCTGCATAGCTTTTACAGTGAATAGTTTTAAAAGAAACAAGTAAATATGAAGTAGTCATCCTTTTGTCCGTACAGTACTCTATCAAGCCCAAATATTCCCAGTTCTTATAGTTTTGAATGAAATAAATTGTTTATAAAGTAATATGTTAATAAAGTGTAGGCTGAAATACCATACCAATCCATTTTATTTATAGAGCACTTAAAACAGCGACAAGGCCAACCAAAGTGCTGTACAGACAGAAAAATGGTACTGTAAGTCCATATTTTATTTAAGAATACACACTATCGGACTATGTTTCCTGCTAATATAATATATTTGATGTAAATCAGCTCTTCGGTAGGATCACGGCATGTCTCAGGTTCTGTGTCAGCTCTTTGCTGGATATCGTTGCCTGTTTCTTAAAAACACAACTTTCCAAAGCTGTTCATCTGCTTTAAATTTATTTTCAAGACTTTTTTTTTAAATTTGTCCTCACCTATTAATGTTACTCATTTTTAAGGACAAACTGCACTATATGCATATACAAGTACATTCTTTATCACATATTGTTTCAGTAAAAAAAAAAAAGCAGTCAAAGTCAAATAAATAAAACCTTCACAAAGCCAGAGGAAGTATTTAAAAAATAAAAATAAAATAATGGAAAATAAAACAAGTCATGGCTCAAGACATCTACACAGCACTGTTGTTGAAATAAAACTAAAGTTCCAACAATTTTCAGTCAGGTCATCTGGACAGTTTCTTTCTTTTCTCTTTTTTTTTTTTTGTGTGTTGAAACGTTTCACCTTCCATCCAGAAGTTTTCATCAGTCAAGGAAACACACAACACAAAACTAATTCCTCCACCAACAGCTTACTCCAAAGTGGAACAAACCAGTTATGTTGGTGCTAAGATGGTCTCTTTGGCACGCCCCCTCCTCTGGTGCCAGCCCTCTTCCTTGTTGACAGTCTTGTCAAACTGGTTCAAAACCAACAAAGTCCATGCTCAATAATCCAGGTATGCAATCCAACAATTTTCAATCGGGTCATCTGGACAGTTTCTTTTCTTTTATTTTTTTTGTGCTGAAACTTTCAACTGAATCTAAAGTTCAGTTAAAT